ATATATATATGTATATATATATATATATATATATATGTATACACACACCATATTTCTCAGGTATATACCCAACTGAGTAGAAGCCCACCAGAGTGAAAACCCATTACCTAATTTTGTTTTCAAATTTTTATATAAAATGCTCTTTTGTGGTATCAAAGCCCGCCAAAATATTTTAGAGATCTGGAACGGAATTTGTACACTATGTGTTCTTCATATAAATGTACCTTACCGGAGTGTCAATCAAACTTAACAACAGACCAATCAGAATTGGGTCAGGAATACGTGCATGTCTTACAAACAAGCACACGTGTTGTCCCACAAAAGCACGTTTGGTGAGACTTTAGAAACAAATATCCAAGGGGCAAGCCTTGCGGGAAGGTCCATTCTAAAAGTAAATTAAATTATGAAATAAATTACTAGCTTGGCTACTTGATCTTTTCAAATCTAGGTTAGCATTTTGACTGGTGGCGTATTATAGTTTGTGTTTTCTTGTCCCAGGGTATAAGACGAAGTGCTCCTAAACTTGACCAAATTGCCGCTTATACTCAAGAAACTACTGGACATCTAAGTCTGGTGGCATTGTGTACAATAACCAATCTTCGGGTAATAGCCCTTTCTTTTAAACCAGCATAATAGGAAGAAAAATTTAAATATGAACCAACCAAGGATATGGTTTGATGTAAATGCCGATGTTAAAATTTAGTTAATTAACATTACAATATATATGTTTTTATGTTGATTGTTTAAATATTGTTGAATATTGCTTATGAAAGATTTGTGTTAATAGTAAAAGTAATTCTTGATATTTTATGCTACTAGACAAGAAGAGTACATTTGTAAAGATGGTTTTCCACTAGGCGAATTTATTCGTGCGAATAAATTTGCCTAGTTGAAAACCGGTTTTAGGCTAGTTTCATCAGGTTAGATGACTCCTTAAAGATTTTGATTAGGAATATTACATTTTCATCAGTTGTTTTCATCATAAATCTATAGTAAAAATGTTCCAATTAATTTAAACGCCAGTACTAAAAAATGGTATGTAAAGTGGGAAAGGTTGGGATGGGAAAGTTACTGAGATCCAGAGATTTACTGAACGGATGGGTGGGGGGGGCAACAATATGAAGTCCACGCCACCACTCCCACCGTGGTTAGTGTAAATAAGTGGTAAAAAATCAAGCTGTCCTTTTTCCCACTGCTGGAGCACCACTAAACTCATGGGTGCACTTCCCTTTTCCCCCTTTCCTCTCTTTAACTTAAATTTATCTCCCTCTTCTTTAATTTTCGGCTTGACCGACAGGGTGGAGGGGTAACAGGCCCCCATGGCCCCCGCTGGATCCACGCCTGGTTAGGGATGGGAAAGTTTGATGTTGGGTGGTTTGATGTGGGAAAGTTTAGGGGTGGGAAAGTGGTGACAAAAGAGAAGATCTGTGCAAGTCATGGATATGATGTCATACAGTCTACTGAAGGTAGTTTCACTTGGTTATTAGCAGATATATTGTAATATCAATTGCAATTGCTTTTGTTTGTAAGAGAAATATTGTTGGTAGTGTTATAATTTTTGAAGATGTAAGATGAATTAATTGGTTAAAAACAGTTGAGCATAATTTCACATTCAAAGTAGACTGAGCCAAGCAGAAGTGGCATCAGAGATTTCTTGACGAGGGGTCCAAATGCTCTGATCAGATGTCCATGCCCCCAGGTTTTAAGAATTTGCACCTCTAGATACCTCGAAATAGCACTCTCAGAACTGTGAAAATTCTTTTTCAAATCTGTATTTTTGAGAGGATTGGGAGAGTGTGGATGGTCCATGTTTTTGTAACAGTGTACAGTGTAACATTGTCCTCATTGGATTTAGTTCAAATGTTTATGAAATACATACAAATGTACAAAAAAATATATGTTGTATTTTTACTAATATGACCTCATTATAATATAATTTTATACACATCAAGTAAAAGATATAATGATAATAACTCGGATATATGTATATCTTTGCTTTTGATTCTGAAGTTAGGAACTTGTGGATGCCCCTTTTCAATTACAGTACATGTACAGTATGTATGAAATTGTGAAAGGTTTTGGTAAAATAAATAAAAACACAAACAAATGTGTATCAAATTTGCTAAATTTTAAATTCACTTTAATGTGGGCATGAAAATCACTGTTAAGGTGCCCAGTTCATATATGATTTTGTATTTTTGATGATTGAAATAGAAACAGGTTGAAATAAATTTCTTTTTCATTTTACTTAAAAAATAACAAAAATTGTATAGAAATAACGACCTAATAATATTTTAATGATTTTTTATTCTAATTTGTTTCACAACTCATTCAATTTACATGTGTGTTATTTATTTTGTATATTAGGTTAACTAATTGGAAAGTGGGTTTCTTTAAAGGCGAATAAACAAAGCTTTAATGAACTAATGGCCTAAACTTTAATTTATTCATCCTTAGCAGTACCAATGAAGTTTCAAATAGATAATTTTGGTATAAAAATAAAAAAATTCCAAAATTCGTTTAAGAATGATCATACTATACAGCCGGGAATTTAACATGGTGAGGTCTTTGACAACAATTACCGATATAGCCAACATTATAGGTATGGGGTGCCATACGCAGCAAAAGTCCATGTTAAAATCAAAATGTAATTGCAAAATTCAATGTCTAAATTTATCAAAACGTAGGCGTAAATTTCCCAAAATGTAGATCTGGTTTCCCAAAATGAAGTTCTAATTTTTCAAAATGTATTTCTAATTTCTTTAAAATGTAATTCAAATTCAAAACGTAGGTCAGACTTGATCAAATGCCCTCTCCAAATTCTATTCCAAAACGTAAATCAAAAACCAGCCTGGTTTGAAATGTATTTGAC